CTTGATAGGACAAGAACCATTCCGAACTGCCACGGCAATATTAGCGGCATTGACCTCGATACTTAAATCCTTGCCAAGCAGAACAAGTGTAGAACATGCATGGCTGCACCCGCCTGCTCATGTCTGTCCCACCAAAGGACGCTTAAAGGAACTTGGCGCTGAAAGGTCTCTTTTGCGTGGCAGATCAATTGTCCTTAGTCTGCACGATGCAGAGAAAGAAGCCCTAGAAGCCCTAGAACTGAACTGTTTTTGGGGACGCTTCCATTGTCCCAGATGCTGTGGAGTCCCCAGAGCCGCGGTCCTTCCATGTGACAGCAGGTCAGCGTAGCAAGAGCGGTCCATCAGCTAAGGCATCTTGCGACCGTTGCGGGAAGCCTCTCCTGACGGTATTTTGCGGATACGACACCGTCTTCCACGGACGTCGCTCCTCACAAGCGGAAACCGCTGCGAGACGGAATTCAGACAGCGAGGCAACATATGACTCGAAAGCTTGAAGTCGCTAGAAGGGTCAGCAAGAGACGGTGAACCCCGGAACCCTGTACCTTTCCGGGTGCTTGCATCTCCCAGAAGGCCCAACTTCTCAACTCTAATCGAGGCTTGAGTCTCGTTCGCTTGCTCGAGCCTTTTCGCATAGTTTGATCTGAAACGGTTTGTGGGCCTTTTATTTCTCAACAGGTTTCTGAGGGGGAGTCAGCGGCTAAACAAGATCCTCCGTGGCTTACGGGCAAGCGAAAACCCTTGCAAACCGCGAGCGCACTGCCTGGTGAAGCACTTCCGCCAGTCGTCGCGCTACGAGATTCCCCCGACAAGCGAGTCAAGACCTGCACTGGCACTGTGACTCTGCCAGCGCAGCAGAACCAACTTTGCAACACAAACCCACGTTCATACACCTCATTTCATTTTGATACAGGTCGAAAAAGTGCACGTAAAGTCATGGATGTGGCACCAGAAGCCCGCTAACCTGCACAGAGTCCTAGGGATTCCTAGGGCAGCTCAAGACTTGGGACCGAAAGGGAGTGCAGGCACAGACAACAAAGCGCTTTCAGGAGCTGGTGCTTCTCGGTTCGCAGTGTCTCCGAAATGCCTCGAACCCTTTCTGGATGGTATCACAAAGCCCTTGCAGGCTAGGCAGCCATTGTTTCGCTAGGAATTCAGTCTGAGCACCTCCAAAGTGTCCTAGAACCAGTGTACTCCGGAATCCGTAACAACTTTTTGGATGCACCTGCAGACCTCTTGATCACAGATCCTAGCCCTAACCCCCATCTCGGTCCACAAATCCAAACATCTGAAATCCGCAGTCCTGCCAACAAAAACTTCGCCACGATCCCCAAGCTCGGAAGGCCTTTTCGCTCCTGTATAACAAGTTGACAAACATCCTGCAAAGACCCTGTACAAGCACGTCTACCAGTCTACAATGCACAATGCCCAGATCTTTATCGTCAGATTACCCAAAGTGTTGTTGGTAAACAAAAGCTACTTTGTTTGATGAGGCTTCTGCTTGTACTTGTCCCTTCTTCGCGTCGGTAACGTTCTTGTAGTAGTAGTAGTAGTAGTAGTAGTAGTGGTAGTGGTAGTAGTAGTAGTAGTAGTAGTAGTAGTAGTAGTACTAGTAGTAGTAGTGGTCGTCGTCGTAGTAGAAGTGGTAGTGGTAGTGGTGGTAGTAGTAGTAGTAGGAGTAGGAGTAGTAGTAGTAGTAGTAGTAGTAGTAATGGTCGTCGTCGTAGTAGAAGTGGTAGTAGTAGCAGTAGTAGTATCAGCAGTAGTAGTGGTTGTTGTCGTTGCTCATTCTCCTCAGGTCTTGGAATCTGCTTGCAGCACAGCCTGTGCATCCCGCGAAATGGGGCTTTCCTGGAGCTCACCGTGGCGCTGCGCCAAACGCCTGGGGATCCAAGGATTTCAGCGGGTCGGCGCTGAGTCGGAACAATGTTTTGGCAACTTTAGGGGCTTGCCCAGGGGTGAAACGGTTTCGATCCCGCCCACTGTCATGCATCATTACAAACGCTTACATCCTTGAAGGCTATCATTCGAACTACATTGGACCTCTATGCATGATGTAAACCAGAATCTTGCACAAAGTGCAAACAGTGGTTGAATTTTGAAAAACTCTTGAAAATATGATGGCCACAAACAAACTCCAGCATTCTGGAGCTTTTGGAATCGTGGGCACTTTGGGGAAAGAAAAGCTCTAGCGAAGCCCGAAAGGGCCAGGGCTGACTATTCAACTGTTCTCAAGTTCGCAAACTTTCTCAACAGCAAGGCCGAAAGCAACCTGAGGATTCAGAACTTCCATAATGTTGGTTGGAGCGCTATCGACATGTTTGAGTCGTCTAGACACCTTAAACATGAATGAAACTATCACAAAAGTGGACAGTGGAAACCGTGGTTCAAGCACTGTCAGAAAAAGCTCAAGAAATGGAAGAGTGTTGGCTGGCTAGAGTGTAGCCACCTGCCTAGGATCTTCGTTTCCCCAACAGCTTCCAAATTTCAAGAATTAGGGCAGCCGTTTCGCTAGTTCAATAGGTTTAAGGTGATACTTTCCAAGCTTTCGGAAATTATTGAAGCTTTTGTATCATTTATCAACAATTTCAACGACTGCTGGCTCGGGCCTGGCTAGGGCCACATCAACAGTCTCTCAAAACGATGTCTTCGGTCCAAGCGTTTAAGATGCGTTTCAGCTGGGGCTAAGTTCAATCATTTAAGCTTCACCAGCTCTTGATGCATGCCCGCTTTTTCAGATGTTAAGCTTCGTTCGAAAAAAGTCTGAATGACTTCGAAAGCCTCATTCCGAATTCTTGAAGGGTCCTGGGGTGGGCCAGGGAGGCCAGGAGGGGGACCTTGGGCTTTGGACGACCTCTTGGAATACAGTCTCCAAGATGTTTTTAAACTGATGTATTTGCCTTTTTGCCACATTTTTTCACAGAGTTTAAGGAGTACTGCGGGCCTTGCTGGGGCCTTTGCTTGAAAGCCTTCCTTGAAATTCTTAACCTTGATCTCGCAGAGTCCTGGCCAGGTGGAGAAAGGGGCAGTTGGTGGAACGATGACGATGACTTCGAGGCTCATCCTTACTAGCAGTTTGTGCTGTCTGTCCTCTCTTCGTTTGCTTCGTCAATGACTATGCGATGAGAATAAGGAGTGCAGTAGAGAGAGACGGTTCTTAAAAATGCATGCCGCAAGTGACCTGAGGACAGAACAAGAAGACACGACTGGCGTCCATGCTCTTTCCTGCGCTTGTATTGCTCATTTCAGAAACGTTGACAGGTTGATGTGGCGGCCTCCCCCTCCTCCCGCGCTTTCAGTTTTCATACGAGGAACATACACAAGAAGGATGAAGCGAGAAGAGAACGTTTTTGCCGTGGTCACTAAGGCTATCTTGGCCTTCTTTGCGTCGTCTGGTCTTCTCTTTTCTCGATGGTTACAAAGTCATGCAAACGTGGCCTCCAAGTTACTATGTCTTCTTCTTGTGTTGCTTTTCGAGTGCATCTGTCGCCGTGTGCAAATTCGTGGCTTCTCACTGCTGCGATGCATGCGTGCTCGCAACCGACGCAAGAATTCTGTCGCAGTGCGGAAAGAATCCATTTGGTCGCGCATGTCGTCTTGGAGCCCGAAGTCGCGAAAAGGCTTGGGAGAGTGCCTAGGGCCTAGGTGGCCAAGCAGAACCCAGGCATTGTACCTCAAGGTCTTTGCCACATTACGCCACAGAATGGCTTAGGGTTGCAAAGGATCCTGGTCAGAGGTCTCCAAACAAGCTTATGCTCGCATATCCGCTATGGGGTTCCCCTGGAAGGGCGTCGTGTGGTAGGCCGTTGACGCTGGGCCATGGGGTTAGTTGGGGACGCAACCGCGCTCTCTCACGTCGCAGAGAGGCTTTAATGCCTTGAGGCCTTTAGAGCTCAGCGCCGAGCACTTTGCCCTGTTTCTTTAGTAGTCGAACTCTTGGGGATTTTTGCACTTGTAATATGTGAGCATAGCTTAAGACTTAAAGTTTTCGACTCTCCCCCTGCCTGAAGTGATGAGCACGTGGGGGCTCCAGGCCAAGAGCTCGCAGGCTCCGCGCCTTCTGACGGAGGAGCTCCGGGTCCTCGTTGTCCTGAATACTTGGTCTTCGCGAAAGCGAGCAGATGGTAGGGTTAAGGGTTTATAGGGTTTAGGGTTTAAGGTTATCGACATAGTTCCTTGCTTGTCCTACTCCGAGGAAAGTTTTGTGCAATTGCATTGGAATCATGCTGAAGCGAGGGCTTATTAGTGAAAGCGGGGACTGCATCATTCGGCTCGGGCCCGGAGGCTCTTGCCTTTCGAGTCGGGCTCCAACAGCTGTTTCTACCCGCAGCTTACCCATTTTGGGGCCGAGGCGGCATCAAGACAGGCAGATTGCTCGGGTAAAATTTTCGACTGACTATTTGACACTGCAAAGCCCAAGTCTTAGTTTTTGTGTGATGACATGCGGCCGGGCTTGTAACAAGGACTGTCGGTCGTCAGCCAGCAACAACCAGCATGCCGATATGTGCCGTGCTGATATGTAAGTGCCTTAATTGCCATCTCAGCGAGCAACCTCCCTCCCGAAACAACGCCCCAAAAGCTGCGAGCTTTGCAAGACTCGCGGAGATTTGACTTTCACACCTACTTTGCGCCTGTGACACCAAATAGAAGCGGTTGGCTTGCCAGCGGGAGTGTGCAAAATCCTGTGCCACAGGCCAAGGCAGCACATGCCATGTCGCTGAACGAACAGACATCGTTGCGGCAAGTCTGAATGCTTCTGAGTCCTCACGGTACACCCCACCCATGGCTGGCTTGGTCACCGCCACGTAAATGAGATGCCGGGCTAAGCAAACCCTTTTCCAGGAAGCCAAATTGCTGCCAGCAAGCAAACGGTCCGGTAGTTCTAGCATTACAGCAACTGGCTTGTCACACACCTAATCACAGTTAGGTTGCTGACAGTCATGACTGCTACATTGCTAACTACATAACTATATTGACATCGCTCACATTCCACGACGAGTCGCCGTCTGCTTCGGCATCGATGATGGCCTTGGTCGATATGCTGAAGAGGTGCCACGAATGAGTTGTGCTAGCAGCATGAGCTTGCTTCGATGCTCCGAGTAACTAGCTGACTTGAAAGCACATGTTACTCTTTCGTCGAACTTCCCTATTTGCTTGCCAGTGTCGTCGATGAGAATGCCGGCAGAGCAGCACTATCAGCCGTTACGACCTGAATGCACAAGCCAAGCCGCGCACTTCTTCCGAGACAGAACGACAGCAGATCCCCCTTTCTGGTCAGCAAACACGCTCAGAGGCTCAGCAACGAGCAGCGAAGTATGACTTGAAGCGCTTCAAGATCACTTTCTCGCCATCCAGAGGCATCGCTGACCTGAGCTCTTTGCACGGCAATCAGGGAATCTGAGGGCATCTCCAGCAGCCGAGATACATGTTGCCCTCTTGTGGATCGTAAGCAAAAACTGCATCTGCTTTTGCCACAAGCAATGCCTAAGCCGGGCTTGCTGGGCTTTCTCAGTGTCTTGCTTATTCTAGTTTTCATTTGCCTCGCTGTGCCATCTCTTCTCTCTGACGATGCCAGTTCAATAGGTGCCGTCATGCCCAGATGCATTCATTCCGGGGAATATGCAAGTGCAGCCGGCCGGAGCACCCCCAGTCGAATCTGCATTCAACAGTCGAAGCTCCTTCACGGGCGCGCCCAAGAAAAAGCCATCGGAATCCATGCAAACTGCAAGAACCCTCTTCAAGTCAGTTGCTTCTTGTCTCAGCCCAACGACCGAAGCTCAGATTCATGTATACGTCCCGTCGACGCTGCTCTTGCCGTTAGCTTTACAGATCATGGATGCCCGATGATGCCCGTCCTGATTGCCACCATTTTGATCGCAGACTTGCCAGGAGCAAACGGCATTCGAAGTGCAGGCAAAGAGCACGACCCGGCTCCCCTGCGTTTGAGGACAGTCTGCTACAGGTAGTGCTCGAAACGGGGCGTGCCTGTTCCAAAAACTCCAGGGACGTCACCTGGCGATTTCATAGAAAGGGACATCGAAAACTTACTCGGCTGTGGCTCTGTGGACTCTCGAGATGACTCGAGCCTTCGGCCCTTGAGCCTCCCTTTTTACGCCTCTACTTTCAGACCAAGGCCTCCTGGGTGCCTTGCCCGGGCTCCTGGCGTCAGCTGTCGGAGAAAGGCACAAGACCGTGCTTACCAGGTTCAAAGAAGCGAGAATAGATGAAGCGGCGACCAATCAAGCGATGTACAGGTTTGAAGCGGGCTGCGACCACTGACTATCTGAAAGACTGCCCAGGGGCTAAGCACAATCGAGCGCGATGGGGTTTGCCCGAACATCCCTGAAAGGCTACGGTGGATGTTGGGGTCTTGTGGCGGTACTGACAGCCGAAGTCTATGTCGATCATGGGCCCATGACCTGCCTCAGCTGCATTGAGTGTCACAGGCGTCTGCTTTTCTTGGAGAAGGTCCTGGCGAACGCGGTCGGTCTTCAGAGCCATACCATGCACAGCATCAACACGTTGCTGTGACCAGGCATAATAATCATAATTTTAACTTCAATAACAGTAATAAGAATCATACCCATCAAGCTCATCCGTGTGATCGACTAAATTCACGAATCTCTCTGTGATTGTCGGTGCGAACACGTCGTTACGTCATGGCGGGGGCCCTAACTGTCGATCCGCATGGCCGGTTCTTCCCGGTAAATTCTCAGGAAGAGTGAACTCTTGCTAACCTAGGTTGCAAAGCGTCGCAAACGAACCGAGCTTCAATATTAGCCTGACATTGAACTGAACTGACCAATCTCGAATTCCCTAGCGTCAAGACCGTAAGCCCTGCGATCAATGACAGCAAGCGGAGCCTGGGCCCGGAACAGTTGCACCGTGCCGTTCTTACATCCAATGGCAACCAAGCCTGAGAGAGCGATATATAGAGCGATGATTCACCCTCGCACTGAGAAGGATTGCTATGCTCATGCTACCAACATCAAGAGGTTGATGCTGATGACGAATATAAGACGATGACGACAAGGGCGAGCGTGATGATGAGGACGACGTTCATTCTGTTCTGCCCGAAACTGCCTCTGCCGATGGATTGTGACCAGGGGCCGCGCCAAACTTGCTGGTGGCGGCGCCGAAAGCAGCCATGCAGGTCACCTCCGATGCTTCGAAACAAAAAACAGCCACAGACTGAATCTACGCCACTGATTTAATGGTGATCGCGAATTTGCCGGCCTGCCCTTCAGGACCGCGCTGGCCGAAGACCCGGTGCCTTTGCAACTGCTCGAAGTGATTCGCTGCCCGACTTCGGGGCTGCCAGGAGCGGAGCTTATTGTTGACATGTGATTAAGTCCCTAAAGGCCCAACACCTCAGTTTGCGGACAACTTTCGGCGGTTGATGATCAAGTTGATGTGTGCATGATTGCAGCAGAGATTGTTGTACTCTACATGGATATGAACAGTAACGGATGGCTTATCGCACCTGCCGAACTGGACAAGCTGACATTGCTGCTCTGACCACACTTGGTCACGGGCACTGCGAGAAACGAGAGGTTGGCTTGCTGCACATGGTAGATCTGCATTGCAGATGGTCATCCCGCTTCAACCCCTCGGACCTTTAATTTTGCCTGCTCTTGAAACCCAATCCAACCGCTTGGATTGCAAAAGAAAACGCTGGTCATTGGCGCTTCGGGTCGTGGGAAACGATGGATTGCATCACAGCCCCGTGCTAAAAACGATCGGCATTGCAGCTGCCACAAGTTTCGATATCGCCCGCCAAGTCAACTGTTCAGTCCATGTGGTCAAGCCTCATCACAACTTAGTACATGCAAAAACTACTACTATTACTACTGCTACTACTACTGCTGCTGCTGCTGCTGCTACTACTACTACTACTACTACTACCGCTACTGCTACTGCTACTCTTCCTCCTATTGCCGCTACCACCACCACCACTACTACTGCTACTACTACTACTACTGCCACTGCCATTGCCACTGCTACTGCTACTGCCACTGCTACTGCTGCTGCTACTGCTACTGCTACTGCTAATGCTACTGCTGCTGCTACTGCTACTCTTCCTCCCATTGCTGCTGCTACCAGTACTACTACTACGACGACGACGACGAAGACGACGACCACTGCAACCAGCACACCACCACCACCACCACTACCACTACAAGTACTACTTCTTCTTCTACTACTACTTCTACCACTACTCCCAGTACACCCAGTACACCCAGTACCCCTAGTACTGCTACTGTTACTACTACTACTACTACTACTACTACTACTACTACTACTACTACTTCCACGGCCACTACTACTACTACTACTACTACTACTGCTGCTGCTGCTGCTGCTGCTACTACTACTACTACTGCGACGACGACTGCTACAACGACGACGCCTGCCGTCTACCACGGCGACGACGACTACTACTTCTACAGGGGCAACAAGAACAACAAGAACGACAACAACACCAACAACACCAACAACACCAGCACCGCCACCACCACCACCACCACCACCAACAACAACAACAACCACCACCACAACAACAACACCAACAATAACAGCAGCAGTAGGAGCAACAACACCACCAACAACAGCAGCAGCAGCAGCAGAACCGGGAGCAGTAACAACAGCAACTACAACTACAATTACAACTACAAGTACACCACCACCACCACCACCACCACCACCACCACCACCACGACGACGGATCCTGTTCCGTGTAGAACCTCGACATGAAGATTGCGGTGGCGGGGAAGGTGCTTTGGTTTGCGGTGAGTGGCTTGGGTGCCTCAAGATGGTGGTGCCGTTGATTCCGAAATCTCGTCAAAGCATACTTTGCATGCTCTTTGCTGGAAGTTATGGTGTTCTTTGACGAGCCCTACGCCACACGTGACATTACTCTCCGTTACAGTCAGTGCGCGAATGGCCCGCCCGCCCTTCCTTGTACTTGGCCACACTGGCTGGACCAGCTGCAGACAAACCACCTCAAACATCTTTCAATGGCATGTGAACTCCACAAGAGCAAACCTGATTACGGCATGACTAAAGAAAGCAGCTGCGCATCTCGATTGGCTGCGAGTAGTCGGAAGTTTGGCACGGAAATCAATCCAGTGGCCTGCGCTGGTGCCCTGATCGCAGCCGGCAGCAAGCAAAAGTTGCCCGTCTCGGCAAACCTTGTTCAGGTGCACATGAGGAAACTTAACAGTAGGAAGCCACAAAAGCTGGATTCAATCCACTGGGAGGCCTCTGCCCAGTGCGCACCCTTGTGTGAGTTAACATTTTCGCAGATGGCGACCGTTTCCAGCAAAGAGCCGGAACTTCCCGAAACCGATGTAAGGTAGCTTTGTGCGGTGCGAAAGCATACTGCGCAGTGTGCCTAGGATCATCAATCTGGTGTATGACAGAATCTATGGAGGCTCACAGACGGAGGAACCCTGGCAGAGGTCGGTTTCTTCAATGTGCTCCACGGGCATCGGTCATCTTAATTAAAATGGAATTGCCCACGATACGGTACCCGATTGCGAGCCGATTGACACGAGATGCAGCGGCTCGGACGGGTCATCTGCGCTGTTGGCGAGGTGGTCTTCGACAGCTCGCGATTCGGCAAATTGCTCCGTGCTGTACAGGACTGCATCATCGAGTGGCATGCCGGTGGCAGACAACACCGGATTCTTGTATCCAAAGGTGAGCCAACCCCTTGAACTCTTCAGCAAAAGAGGCAGTGAACTTCTGGCAGCTCACGGCATCATTGCATGTCACGAACGGGAGCATTTTGCTGTAATGCTCCGAAACATTAGCAACGAAGTGTATTCTGGGCACTTTGGCCCGCATGCTGTCGGTGCCATATCTGCGAAATTCTGCGAAGTCGCATGTGATAGCAGGAAGATGGTTCAAAGCTCAGGAACGCGCAGACTCTTGCTGCTGCTGGGACTCGGCACACTCCTGGTGGGACTGTCGGGTGGAAGCTCGGCATCGCGGGGTGAGCTCTCACCTGCTCAGCAAACTCTGGTCTCAGAATTTTGTCTAGAAGACCTGCCGTGCTGCCCGGGCACTTCCCGGACTTCGACCAGAACCACTGGCACCGTTGCTGGAATGACCACCCTTTCGCCTCACAGCAAGGGATAGATGAATGTTCGATACTCAGGACAACTCAACGGGCGTTGTGGTAATGCTTGGACGTCCCAAGCCTTTCTGTCTGCCGGAGTTTCAAGAGCATGTGCTCCAAGCGTTCGAACCCGTCCTGCACACATCTTCATGTGTCGTCTGTGGCTCTGAACTCTGAAGGTCAACTTACCTGCAGTATGCCCTGAACCGATGACCTGAAGCGGTAGTGGTTCAATAAATCATGCATCTCCGCTTGTTTCATCGGTGTCCTTGAGCTCCCGGTGCTCCCTGGGCTCCGGCCACGGAGTGTCTGGAGAAGTGGAGCCGCTGAATCGCTGGACTGAATCCTCCAATCATCTCCAAGCCCCTTTGAAACCCTAAATCTGGGCTGATTTTGTCAATCTAGTCTCGGTAGGAACTGGCTACGGCTATTCTTTTGAATGTTCGGTTGCAGCGTAGTCCTGAATCACCAGATGCGCTTTCGCCGGCTCCAGGACCTGGAGACCCCCGGCGGGCCCGACATCTCCTTCGCTGAATTCCAAGGGCTCCTCCAAGTGCAGCATCTCCAAAAAAGCAGACCAGGACCTGCCAAAGAGGAACAGTTCTGAGATCGGGAGAATTCTAGTATGTTGTTGTTGGAGGGCAGTAAGGAAAGGCTTCCACCATGAGAAAACGAACGGCTCAAAGCAGTGCAGAGCCTTCTTGGGATTCGATCTGCCATCTCCGCCAAGTGGGATGTCCGGTTTAACCGTGCGAATCCCTGCAAGTCTTTGAAGCATTGTCCGTAGCACGACACCATCTGTGCCACAAGCAGATTCCTGCGCAGAGACGCGACAATGCTGCGGTATTACTGTATCATCTTGACTCTAGATTATATAGCATCTTTAGCCCTTCCTTCTCACTGCAGCCATCATGCTTCTGTATGAAGGGTTGTGGATTGGCTGTTTGCCGGGATATAGACTTGAAAAACCGTTGCTCCAGTAAAGCTTAAGGCCAAGGCACAACATGAATGTAACCATGATGATGCAAAACACGCTAACCATAATCTGTACTGAATCATCTGCTTGCAAGGTTTGCCAGAAGTCGCTTGGGACAGTCCCAAGGGTGATTTGCGATAGCACCAGGACCCAGCTCTGCACACCATCCAGCTCTACAAATGTATGGGCCGTTGCGTTAATAGCCGTTGCAAAGGAGAAGACAAAGAAAAACGCTGCAGCAATGGTCAGTGCGACTTGCGTTGCCACGTAGCGGCATGCCAAGAGAAAGGCCAACACCCTGGTTGAGAATATGGAGATGTCCAGCAGGACAAGACACCAGTGCAGCATCACTGCTAGGGCTGAGATCGCAGAGTACCAGTCACTGACTGGATCCGACTGAGGGCAGGATCTTGTTAGTAAGTCACCCTGGGCGCTGCCATAGTACAGGCACCAAATCACTGGCTCCAGGCTTAGCATAGCAATCAACACGACTAGAAGAACTGCGGAGCTGAACCATTCTGGGCTGAGCAGATAGCGTGGGAGTGGTCCTATGATGGTACGCACCACCTGCCCCGCCATTGCATCCCTGAGGAAGTGCAGGATGTGCTGGCAAAGAAGAGGTCCTAGGCCGAAGACATAGGTGAAGCCTCGACCTCGGGCGAGGTCCGATCAGCCTTTGCCTCAGTCCTTGCAGCCTTTTCCGAGACAAGGCCTCGGCCCAGGGTGTACTTAGTGTACTTTCTTGCAATCGAGACACAAACAGCGATGATGATGTTTGCCTCGCGTGACGTCGATCCATGTAGGAAAGACTGGCCGGTGAGCAACACGCACAGAGCGAAGATGGAGTACATGCGTTGGAGGATAAACCTGAACATCGCCTCGGATCGCAGCATGCTGGACATAAGCACACCATCGACTGAGGTATCGAAGGCGGCTCCCCAAACCACCCTAGCATGGAAGACAAAGACGTGTGTTTGTGTCATCTTTCGACCGCAAACCAATTCAACCGTTCCCGACCCCTCGAAGGATCTGGAGCTTAAACATCGGCGA